TCTCTTCTGTCAGGACTAAATAACTCTGTTTGACTTGCAGAAACACAAAACTCAACAAGTAGCCGGAGGGATCTTCAGTCGTGCAGACAGTGAAAGCAGCAGGGAGCGATGCTGAATTTTTCATAATAACCGTCAGTCCTGAAATTCAGTTCAGTCATTTATTATCTGTTTGTTCAGGGCTCATCTCCTCCCCGTCCGTGCTGACTTTTTAAATAAAGGGAGCCCTCCAAACAATTGTCTGGCTTTCTGCCAAAGTTGATTATACACGCTTACAGGCAGAGGAGCCCCCGCCAGCATTTGGCAGCAGTTCACCGGTAGCGGTGTTTGGTGGCAGATGATAACCTCCCACTCAGAGGTCTGCTTTGAACAGCGAGGAGAATTACCCAGGGATGTGCTCCGTCCAACCCTTTGGCATATTTTAAAAATTGTCAACAGTTGGCAGTTTGAGAATAAATGATGTGTGAGGAGTGGAGCAGAAATGTAAATACAGGATTACTGTCAGGCTCTGGCAAAATGTGTCTTTCATGCTACTATTAGAGTTGGCAGGTTGAGGTTGGCGTGACCAAACAGGACATGAGCACGCTCAGAAACCTGCATGCAAGGGAGTGAGATTCCTCACAGAAACATGGCTCTAGTTCAACTAGAGCTGAACATGCAGCCAAAGTTGGACTAATTCTGTTTCTAATTGCAGCGTAATCAAAGATGCGTTTGTGTTGCCACGTCTGTCTGATCTCTGTTTGATCCCTGATTGTTTTTTTTAACCATGCGAGTTGTAAATGTGGGTCGTTACTCTGATTAGACCCTCTGTAAACAGTTTCTACCACATTACGCTCACTGCAGTCAGGTCTGTGCAGCCTCTGTGTTTCTGAGGAGCTTGCATAGGTTGAACCATATGTTTGATTATCAAAAGTGAGGGAAGTACCTTCTCTGGGTTTAATCTGCTGAAAACTGTTACCCAGAAGTTATTGTAATAGTCATTAAATCACATCTTTATTGACGGATACCAAAGGTGTTATAACTTGTAAATGAGAGTACAGGGAAGGTCATCAAATGTCTTTATGAAGGAAACAGACAAGATTTCAAGTCTTTTCCAGCATAATTCAAAGATTCTCAGTGGGCTTTAGAGGTGGACCCTGTGGTGTCCAGTCACAGAGTTAAAAAGATGTCTGACGCTTCCCTAGTCACTTTCATAATTTTAGCCCGATGAATCCTGGCATTGTCATCTTGGAATATGCCCCTGCCAATAGGGATGAAAATATTAATTAATGGAAAAACCTGATCGTTAAGTAGGTTCAGGTAGTCAGCTGACCTCATTTTTGGGCACATAATGTTGCTGAACCTTAGACCCGACGAGCTGTAGCAACCCCACTTCATAACAGGCTCGTGTGATAGGGAGTGGGGTTAATGACTGCAACACTTCATCCTCTTCTCTTCTTACCCTTTACCGTTTTCTTTCCACTCATTACAGAGTAGATCTGGACTCCTCAGACCACATGACCTTTTTGTTTTGCCTCCAGGAATATCAGAGCTCTTTTTCCCCAATTTGCATCGCTGATATGTGGTTTTCTTAAGGCCATGAGTACTGCAGTTTTTTTTACAATTTGCTTGATACAAGTCATAATTTGACCCTTTTTTTCCACAATGTCTTTCAAAATGTTTCTTTAACAAATGAGGAGCTGCTCACGTCGTTAGTTTGTTTTAAATCATTTGTTGCCAGCGGAAACACGTTATTCACCGCAGTAATTACCCAGTGGAAGGCTCTTAGTTATTTGTGTAGTTAAATCCATGTGGTGACTTTTCTTTTAGCCATATATAATTATTTATACACACCAGCTGGAAAACTATTTAAAGGAGTTAAATACACAATCTTAAACTAAGCTGTGCACAACAAAAATCAGTTTTTGTGTTTAGTGTTTGCATTTCTTTGTGTCTGCAGGACAGATTGCCGTGGCTTCTCAAACTACACGAAGTCATTCGGAGGTGAGCGCTAACCAATCTCTACAAATACATAAGTTCTATCATTTCAAAGGACACAACATTGGCTTTTTTTTTTTAACCCATCAGCCTTTTAAAGGTTGATGTGGGGGGTGCTGTCATCACATCAAAGGTTATAAACGGGAGGGCGAGGCGGCAGGATTTTGACCTCGACCTCACAGTCAAGGTCAGAGGTCAAGTTTTCTAAAAATCTTGTGACTGAGTGGGTACAACTGATGGCCACCAGTGTTTTGTGGCAATTTACCCTAATATCTGCTCTAAGCTTCATGCTAAACTTAGGTAGTACAACTGCACACACACACGTTTCATGAAAACAGGAGGTATTTTTTATGACATAAAGGAGAAGATGATGGGTTTAGAGGTAGAGCTGAAGAGCAGAGGAGCGAGGTGAGAATGTGCAGGCATGAAATTGTCGAGAGAGAAAAAATGTCAACGATGGTCGTGAAAATTGAGATGAAAACCAGAGAGCCAGGAAAAACAGTTTGGGGAGTAAAGACAGATTAAGTGAGGAAAAGAGGTGAGGGAGAAGCAAAAAGTGTGTCGTCTTTTTCTAAAAACGTCAGCGGCAACATCAAAGAGTCCTTCTGCTTAACTCTTCCACACTCAGATGCACTTATTTTTCTCCATCCGCTCGTCCTTGCGTCAATCTTTTTCTCTTTAGTTGTTGAGACTAAAGTTTACTTTAAGCTTATTTTTTTTCAGTCTGAACTTCAGTAGTCATTCATTCCTGCCCTCAGCAACTTTGTACATATGTGCATGTCTTCCCGTTACAGAGAGAGGAGTTCAGGCTCTGATGCTCTCCTGGTGTGCTCTGCACTGAAGCACCAGTACAGACGGATCCTCCTCCATGGCTCCAAAGCCCTCACTTCCCCTTCGGAGACAGACCAAGAAATCTTCCCTCCAGCTTCTCCTGATGTCTTTTTTCTTTTCCTTCGTGGTGACTATGAATTCATTTACCAGAGGATGGTGGCCCGGAGGGGTCACTATATGAAAGCCGACATGCTGCGTTCCCAGTTTGATACTTTAGAGGCTCCGTCTGATGAGGAGAATGTGTTGACACTGGACATCCAGAGGGGCATCGATGATATGGCTGTGGAGGTTGAAAGGCACTTAATCAACCACAGGTCAGGGCTACCAGCGTAGCCTTGACCACCACAACAGACCACATGGGATCCTTAGCAGCTCTAACATTGATATTCCAGCAAATATTCAGGATCCTGCAGGATTACATTTGAATGACTTTGGTGATTCCCTGTGTGGCTCTCCACAGCAACCAGGAATTCACAGTTTCCACTTATTTGAAAACATCCAGCATCTACTCGATGGACTGGCACACAAGCTTGACAGTGGACATCAGATGTTTGGTTTTTTTTCCCCTCTTTCCCTTGAATATCTTGAAAACAGTTGAGCAGTAGATGAATCCGCATGTTTGATTATTATATTGTCACAGATGCACTTCCTGATGTTCCCCTCCTAGTTACCCAGGCTTGGACAAAGACTGGAAAGTTGTGACTCCACGAGGCTGGTGTGGTGTCTCCTTCTGGGGTCCCTGTGGGCATCTTTAGCATGTAAGTTGAATAAGTTAAATAGAACATGGAGCCCATTTTTATATAAACTTAAATCTATATAATTTTACAGAAATATAACATCTCTGTAAATTTTGTAATAGATTTAAAGGCCTCGGGAGTAATAAAAAGTATGATAAATGCCTTTATCAGGACAAAATTAATATTTTTAGACACTTGAAAACTAAATACCTACAAAGCTGTGGTAGAAATGATTAACATGTCAACATGACAGACTAAGATGATGAACATCAGTGTAGTCACACTGTCATGTGACATTTTAGCACCTCGCTCGAAGCAGCGAGGTCAGCCTAAGTAGAACAACACAGAGTGTGTGGCCTTTACTGTTGTTCTAGTCCCTTTTGAATACCTAATCAGTGTCTGGTTTGTAGTGAGGATGAGAAATAAATCACTGATTCAGTGTTGATGTAAAACCACAGAGTGTGGCAGGCTTGACGAGCTCATTAGTTATTTAGTAAAGAGTGGAATACACAGTATGTGTGATTTTCGAGAGTTCTAGCTGGTTGCAAACATTTAAAACATTTAAATATTTAGGTGCCATTCTAATAAAAGCATTGTGTGCTTTGAAACTGAACCGGTTTGTGCGTATTTAAGGATGGTATCTTTTAAGAATATGCCATGGTGAAGATAAAAGGTTTTTACAGCCTGCTGTGATTTCTGCCTGTGGGGGTGTATCCTGCCTTAGGTACCGCCCTTCTGTACCGCTAAGACCAGAGTGCTTAATTAAGGCCAGATAGATTTGTGTGGAGTGGAAGATGGTGCTAATTGTTTTTTGTTAAGTGACCAGCTTTTAGGTTTTTCTGTGTTTCTCTTCTTTTCATAGTGATAACATGTGACGAATCTCCTTTAGTTTAATCCTTTAACTAAAAAAAACAAACAAACACATATTTTCATTACTAATTTTGCCTTCTTTTTCAATCTGGACATTTTTTGTTACTTCTCCACATACCCTGGACTTCTGGACGTTTCGAGTGTTTGATCATAAATGATGTGATGCTGATCTTTTTAATAGTTGGAATAAACACATGGAAGCTCTTTATTTGTCCTGATGATTGTCCACAACAAACCCAAAGATAGTCAGGTCACATAAGCTCAAGAAATGAAACCCTACAAAACTAGAACAGAGAAATGATGTCTGACTAAATTTATTTAGCTTATAATTGGTTTCAGCTTTACAGAAAAATAAATGTTAGTCCTAACAAAAGCTGATCTACATCTTTGTTTGTTTTAGAGCCCTGGAAAACTCTGCACAGTGTCTTCTCTGCTAAGAATGTTTCTTTATCATTTTCAGGATAACAAGTTTCTTCTGAGATTGAAATTTTCACATCGACAAAGTCGAATCATTAAAGAGATTTAACCTGAACACTTCACTGCACCCCTCTGTGAGGTTCAGACCAAACATTCAGACACACTCTTTCACACCTGCACTTGTGGAGCTGTTTTAGTGTTGTGACTCATCTACAAACCTCAACCCGAATATTTTTGGAGCTTCTAATCCAGAAACCCCCCCCCCCCTCCCGGCTACTCTCGTATCTCACACATTCAGCCGCACACACACTTTGCTGGAGATTAAACCACCCCACCCCCCACCACCCCCCAGTCTGGCAGCAACAGACAAACACATGCAGGTTGTCAAGCAGAGCGCATCCATCTGATGACAGAGTACGTGTCCCGTGTGTCAGGTAGCTGTAAGCCCCCAAAAGGCAGGAATGGAAAGCAGAGGAACGCTCTCAGTTTAAGAACATCTTTTAATGTTGTTCAGTGCACAGGTCTGTACAGTTTCAGTAAGTGGAATAATACATTTGCCCCAGTTTGTATATCTTGCAGAGGTGAGCATGCAGATGTGGATTTCTGGCTTACATTTTAATACTGTAGGCAATAACATGAGAATAACAATGAGTTAACTTCGACCTACTTTGCTACATCTCAGATTCAAATTGATTTTCATACAAGCCATACTAAAAGACTCTAAATGCCACCTAGTGTTTCTAGTGGGGTAGTGCAAGTTTAGATATTAGAAAGAAAAGCTTTGAGCAGTGTCATTTCTGCAATTTTGTGGATTAAATACTTAATCATACTTATTCTTAATACATTATTACCCAAAAAGAACAATTAGTAGCCACAGAAAATCCTGCTAAACTAATGCTGCTGTTTGACCCTACTGCAGAACAACTGCAGAGCATTATATTTGAACACAGAGGCGTGGAGGAAACGCATCTTATACAAAGCCTCATAAATTCAGCAACAAATAGCACGCATTTACATAAATGAGAAACAACAGAATTGAATTCAAAGTAAATAACAGCATTTAATAGTTCTGTTTACAACAGAGCCACGAGTCGTCTAAAGGATGTTGCTCAGTCTGTTGTTTGCTCGTGAAATCCACAAGGAGATAAATGAGCCTGCTCCTTATGGTGCAAAAATACTGCAGCATAGAGCTCAAGCTTAAGGGAGAGCATCATGTGTTTTTCTCTTGGCTGTGCAAACCTCACTTTCTGTACCCGTCTAACCTCAAGATAAACACTGACCTCCAAGCAGGTTTGGACTTTGCCTGAAGTCATCTTCTTTCTTTGAACGTCCTTTGAAACTGAGTCTACGTTCAAAGACAAACTTTGTAATTATTTACGGTTTTTAGAGCCTGTGGTGCAGAAGCCACAGTAGCAGCTAGACAGAGTGGGAACATCACGTAACATATTGCACTCCTGGCTCAGTCTGTTGGCTGAGAATGAGAGTGCGAATTTTCTGCGTGCATCCAGGACATCTGACTGTCTCAGGGTGCTAAAAGCTTTCATTAGACTCTGTCCAGGTGGCAACATGAAGAGGCCTGAGCTTTAAAGTGTGGCAGCAAAGAGATTAAATAACTTCCCCTAGGGATCAATAAAGTATAAAGTATTCTGATTCTGATAATAATAACAATATAATATGAATATTTCTGCAAACTTGCATTGTTTTATGTCTACAGTCTATGACAACCCTGGTTCCAAAAAAGTTGGGCTGTTGTGTAAAATGTAGATAACAACAGAATGCAATAATATGCAAATCTCATAAACGCACACTATTTCTGGAAAAATATGAGCTCATTTTGAATTTGATGGCAGCAACACATCTTAAAAGAGTTGGGACGGGGCAACGGAAAACCAGAAAAGTACATTTTAGTAAAGAAAAACAAAACATTGAATGCTCGTTTTACACCTGATTTTGTTAATCTGCAACAGGTCAGTAACATGATGGAGTATAAAAAGAGCATCTTCGAGAGGCAGAGTTTGTCAGAAGTAAAAGTGGCCTGCGATTCACCAAAAAAGTGAGTTTACAATTTGTGGAATAATTCTGATACTTTTCCACAATGCAAAAAATGTGAAGACTTTGAATATTTTGTCATAATATTATCAAAAAACAAATTCTAAAAAATCTGGACTGCATTAAAAACAGACATGATTCTGTCTTGGAAATCCCTGCATGTGATCAGGAAAACTTCCAGTAATTATTGTCTGTGAACATAGTTCACCATGCAGGTTAAGTGCAACAGAGAAGCCGCATGTAAACAGTGATCCAGATCCATGCCATTTTCTCAAAGCTCGTTTAAAATGGACAACGTGGAAATTTTTTCTGTGGTCACAAAAAGTTTATTTTGAAATTCTGGAAAATACGGATGCTGAAAACTGTCTAAAACTATCTGGCTTGTTATCGCCGTTCAGTTCAATAATGACTGATGATACTTGAGTGCATCAGTGCGTAGGAATTGGAAGTTTGCAAATCCAAAAATTCACCATCAACACTGAAAGGTATGTACAGGTTCTAGAGACGCGTACGCTCCATCCAGATGGCAGCTTTTCTATTTCAGCAACGCAGTGCTAATGCAGACTGTATCTATTACAACAGCACGACTCAGTAGAAGAGTCTGGGTGCTGAACTGGCCTGCCTTTCAGATGTTTCACAAACTGGAAAGATTAGGAGGATTGTGAAAAATACAACAAAGAAACACAACATTCCTCTCCCAGAAGTCCAGCAGCTGGTTTCCTCGGTTCCCAGATTTTTACAGACTGATTAAAGAAGAGGGGGATGTTACGCAGTGGTAAACATGGCCCTGACCTAACTTTTTTGGGAAGGATGATACCATCAAATATAAAATGAACTTATTTTTTTCATTTTTAAAAGTTAATATATGGGTTTAATAGATTTGCAAATCATTGTATTCTGGTGTTATTTACATTTTACATTGTGTCTCAACTTTTGGGGAATTTTGAGTCTACACAGACCACGACTGGTGCATATAAGACAGTGAAAGGCATTGTGTTCTCTTGTTTCTAATATTAACCCAAACACTCACACTTCAAGGACAATAAGGATGTAAAAATCCTCCTCCTGTTGTCTCACTTCTCAGTCAGTTTTACATGTACCTGTATACCTCAATATCATAAATGCATACAGCGCTCACCATCCTCAGACCTTTAATTTGTTTGACTGAAGTTTAAAGTGTAAGTGTAGGACAACAAACAGAGTTTAACATTATGTGTGTGATATAAGTTAGTTTTTGAAAGTGCATCAAGTAAGTATGGCTTTTTATTCTCTTATGTTTTTATCTTTTGCAGAGCACTTTACAATCAGTACGGGTGAATCATTTCTTATCATAACGTTCTGTTGTGTAGGTGCTTATGTTTATTGTCGATGTCTGTATTTGTGTGTATGTGCACGGATGAATATGTGTCAGAGACTGAGCAGGTGTTGTACAGCAGTGGTGAGATCTCCCCCTGTGCTGATGAGGGCCTGAAGGTTCGCCTTCCTGTCTCTGAAGCCCATTGAGCTCAGCTGCTCCAGCTCCTCCTTGAACTCTCTCTCTGTGTGATGGACCTGACACAACATGACATGAGAGTTATTTAAAGTCTTACTTATTAAAATAATGTGTGAAAGAATTCAAAATGAGATCATAATTAGCGATTTAATTGTGAATCCTTTCAAACAAATGGGAAAAAAATAATAAACCTTCCCAGATTTAGTGATTTTGTTAACCCAGACACCCAGTTTTGTTTCTGGGTATTTGGGTATGAGTCTCCCTTCAGCTGCAAAAACGTCTGGATATGAATCAGAAGAAAGTCCAGGCGATGTGGGAAACAAAGGTAAATGTTTTGGGGAGGAAAAGGAGAGGAGGCGGCATGAAAAAAAGTTTTTTATGAATAATTGAACTCAAAGAGATGGCCAAGTCGCTGCTGTGGGGGATAAAAAAGGAGCACTGCAATAAAATCTAAAGCAAAAAAGAGAAACAAGTCAGTAAGTTTGTCAGAACCACACTCCTTCACACACTGGAGTAAGCAGCAGAAAGCTCTGTGGCAATAACCACCAGAGCTGAAGGCTGGCAGCACTCAGCCGAGTTTAGTGGTTCTGCAGGAAAAAAGCGTCAGTATCTAAGAAAGGGAAAGACTAATGCCACCTTCCTTCCCACCAGAAATCAGCGACTCTACCGGGGCTGTAACCCACTAAGTAAATGTTGGATCCACAAGTAGAAGCACTGACTCTGAAACTTTAACGATTAACTAGAATTTGAGTCACTGAGGCCCAGCTGGACCTGCTTCAGTAGGTTAAAATGTGTAATAGTTTAAACCACTGAACAAATTAGACATCATTTGGCTCCATGAGATATAGTGTGGTACTCTAATTTATCCACATTCATACCAGCAGCTGTTAATGCAAGCTGATATCAAACAGTCAGTCACTCTTTATACTGCGTAGTTTTTTAAAAGTACTGAATCACTAAATATCAAAGGCATGTATCATTTGCCTGCCTAAGGGAAATTCTCATTTACTGTCAAAACGCTATTTACTACTGATATTTTAACTTGAGACTCAACGTTGGAGACAGAAAAAAAGTTTATAAGGTAAGTACCTCGTTATTAGTGTTAGCCAGGGCCTGTAGCATCTGCTGTACAAACTGCTGCTGCTGCTCTGTCGCTGAAGCAGCCTGTTGACCGCTTCCTGATTGGCTATTCGGAATGGAGTCAGATGGATGCTCAGAAGCGGCACCGATACCTGTTCCAGTGTTTCCGAGAGCATTCCTGCATGATGGGCAAGACTGGCGATAAGGTTTCTCTGTCTTTGAAACACAGTTCTTCCACCACAATAGATCTCCTTAAGTTGTTTTTACTCACGCAGGTATGAGAGCTGGAGCCTCTGCAGCCAGAGTATGCAAGCCCTGTTGGATCTGCAACAGAGCCTCCATGGCTCTGGGGTTCAACATGGCCGAGAGCAGCTCTGGAGCCTGCATCTGCACATTATTGATAATGGCAAAGTTATTAATCATACCCACTGAGCAACGGAGTCAGAGTAGAATCGTTTTCCTGCATTGCTAAAGATGATCATATCTACATGGATTTTATGAAAAACCATGGCATCTGTCCAGGAACAAGAAAATTATTAGCGTTCCTAATGTATTGCAGACATCTAATCCAGCTGAAAGACAGCAGGTTAACAGTTAGAGGAATAAGCAGACCTCCTGCAGAAAGACGGGGATCTCCTTTCTCATTTGCTGCTGCAGCTGAGGATTTCCAGCCAACAAAGGGTGGTTCAGAAGCATCTGCAACAATACAAAAATGAAAGCAGGATGAACTATATAAGACATCTCTGCTGTTTCGGAAGAAGGAAATGTTGTCCTGCAGTTGCCTAGTGAAAATACTGCACATTTAAGAATTAAAGTGTCCATGCATCACCTGTGCAGCCAGGTCAGAGTTCTGGCTAAGGCAGTTTAAAAGACTGCTGACGTATGGCCCAGACAGCAGGCTCTCCAGTAGACCTGGACTGGCAGTGATCTCTTCTAGCAGTGACTGCATGCCTGAAGCAGGAAGCCATTAATAGAATATTTTAAAAAGCAGTTTAATGATATCTTTAAAATATTTAACACATTTAAAAACATATAACCTAAGAATGCCTCAAGCATAAAGCTCATGCCTGCTGTGATGCTGCTTTGAGAGTTTGAACCAGCTCTGGATGTGGCAGTCAGCTCACTGAGAGGATCTGTCGAGTGACCAGAGAACGTCTGATTGGATTCACCCTCCAGTATTTGGTGATTTCTGGGTGATGTAGTCACCGATGCAGATGCTCCTACCTTCTTGTAAAAGGCAAAGCAGATATTAAAAAGAAAACAGGTTAAGCATACAAGATAAGTTTAAACTTACCTAATAATAATCATCATTTTCAAAGTCACACCTGTAATTTTGCTTCTGGGTCAGAATTGTCAGTAATGACTTCAGGATTTTTCTGCTCTGACTGCAAATTTTCTAAAGCTTTGTCCTCATTGTTCATCATTTCTTCTATCATGTCAGGGTTCTTGATGAGCTCCAGCAACTGGAAAGAGGGAGAGATAAGTGCAAAAACATACTCAAAATATCGGAGGGAGAAATCAGGCAAGGAGGAAGCAACTGTACTCATACTGCAGTGAAATTAGAAAGGTTAAAATAACAACATTTTTGCAAGTGTCTACTCTAATGTTAGTGCAGATGTTACAATGCTCTGACATCCACTATACCCACCTGTGTTATGACATCTTTGTCGTTAAGCATATCTTCCACTTCTGGGTTTGTTTGCAGGAGCTGCTGAATTTGGGGATTAGACAGAATGAGCTTTCTGATAAGTTGAGGGCTAGAGGTGGAGAGGGTGCTCTGCACAAAGGGGCTGTCCAGGAGACGGTGCATCATTTCTGGGTCAGCCAGCAATCTGTTCTCCATCTGGCGCTGGAGCTCCGGGAAGAAGCTAGTCCCGCTGTCTTCAAGGACAAGGCTGTCCAGACCTTCTACTACAGAAACAAGGTGGAATCAGCAGAATGGCAGATTATAAGTTCACTGAGGAGCTGAGTACAGAGCAGCAGCTGAAGCTCAAACAGAGAAGTCTGGAGAAATGAGAACCACAAACTAGATTTATGAAAATAGTTAAAGGCGAGAAGAGTTCCCGTGTTCTGCACATCTTACCCAGGCAGAGAGGAGAAGTAGGGGAAGGTGTGATGTTATCTGGTTCAGGGTCGAGGTCTGGGTCAGTGGGAGGTGGAGCAGATGAATGCTGAGGCCTAAGACAGATACCCAGTTGTTGTTTTTTTTAACATAAGTTTGGTATAAATAGATTGTATATCAAAGGAACCTGAAGGCAGAAGTTACTTATTACTTTAAATTACTTCTACAATTTTAATTTTAAAGAGCGGACAGGCTGTACAGATCTCTGACTGAGAATCTTTGCAGACATAATATTTTGTTTAATACTTCATGTGATGGTGGGGTGATCAGATTCTATCAAATTAAATGTGGAGCAAAATGTACGTTGATGTGGGACAAAGTGGGAGACACTATATATATATACGACCTAAAATGTGGCTTATATGTAATGTTCTCCCTGTACTCTAAAATCTCACCTTCCACAAGCTTCCAAAGTAATAAGTAGTTTCCTTGGCTTTTTCATAGATTTATTTGATTTGCTTTGGGAAGACACTCATTAAATTCTGACAAATTTAATATTTTATTTGCTCTATTTTAATATTTTATTTTACTGGGTTTTATTGTAGTTTTTCATGAGGCTATATATTTTTATATATTTATATTATATATTTCCTGCTCTCTGCACAGACATTTTATAAAAGCCAAATAGAAAAGTGAAAGTTCTGTATTGTTGCTCTTTGAAAACTAGAGCCAATGAAAATGTGGAATATTCTCTGAATATGCACAATAAACAGCAAAGAATAAAAATGCTGTGTAGTCCCAATGTGGTACATGTGGTATCCAATGTAAGGCAGTGTTTTTAATATTTACTATGATTTAAAAGCAAATAATAAATATAGCTACAGCTAATGAATCTGCAGTTGCCTTTTATTAGTGCCAGATTTGTCTGCAATATTTTCTTAAGAGGTCACACAAGTTGTTTGCAGCTGACCCTGTTGCATAAGTAAGGCGCAAAACACAGGAGGAGCAATATTTAACAGAAGCGCACACACTGATTTACTGACATATGTGACATGTAATTTAAAAAAGAAAGTAAAATCTGTCTTATTTTTTTCTTGATATTGAAATGAACTGACTACACTGTGTTTAGAAAACAGCACAATTTTTTGTAAATTCCTAATAAACTCACCACTATTTGGGTGATTGGACTCACATACAATTTTGCCCCTTTTAGTAAATCTGGAATTATATCTTTATTTTCTTTATCTTTATTAATACCAAATGTTGGTTTATTACTAGCGACGGCATGAACCCATGCCATAAACAGAGTAGGTTGTCCATACCTTTGGATCATGCTGAGGTGTACCGACCCATTCAGTCCTTTAAGGTGACTCAAGGGTTCAGAGTCTTTGAGGACTCGATTGGAGTGGATCAGGACCAGCTCCTCTGCTGAGGCTCCCAGGTGCTCTGACAGACCCCATTTAAACTGCATACACAGAAACACACAACCCACATTGTTATTTAATGGTGTATTTAATGGTGATAACCCCCGTTGTACCAGCTCAAAAATCAGCAGCAAAGACACCAGCCAATATAACTTCCATCCTGGGGTCTCTCCACCAAAACCATTAGATGAGGGCAGTGAAAGAAACAGTAATTCAATGTAGCAGAGTATGACTATTCAAGACTTTACTTAAGTACAGTTCCAGTGTACTTCTACTTTAAGTGATTCATGTTATGCTGTTTTCTACTTAAATTTACTATATTTTGGAAGCAAATACTGTACTCTGCACTTCACACCATTTATTTTAGGAAACAGTGAATTATTATTTTGAAGATTTTAAAATAGGAATCTACATAGTTATGGAATGCCAGGACTGCCAAAATGAATTAATTAAATACACCATTAAATTAATTCAATGTGTCAATAATTAATTAATTAAATATGTCATAAATATGTATTTAATTGATTATTGACGCATTTAATTAATTATTGACACATTTAATTAATTAATTTAATGGTGTATTTAATTAATTCATTTTGGCAGTCCTGGCATTCCATACATGGTACATTATGCGGTTTGACTATAAATAAAGCGTACATGTAATATAATCATCTCCGGCGGAAAGATTTAAGTGATATACACATTAACAAACCAGTAACTACAATCCAATATATGATTTTGAATGGTGTGACAACAGTAAACCCACTGAATACACCCATATACATATAATAACATACAATCAGTGGCCACTTCATTAGGTACAACTATTCAGCTGCTAGTTAAACACAAATATCTAATCAGCCAGTCACAAACATTTAGAGTAGAAAACATGATTAAAATGACCTTCTGAAGTTCAAACATGCTGCTGATGTTGAGAGCATCAGAATAGGAAAGAAAGGTGTTCTGGTTATGGTTGTTTGAGAAAGACATGGTGATCTGAGCACTTTACAAACTGCTGATTTCCTATGATTTTAGCACATAATTTTCTCTAGGGTTTACAGAGAATGATCTGAAAAAGAGAAAATATCCAAGAAGTGGTCATTATCTGGGTGACAATGTCTTTTTGATGTCAGACGTCAGAGGAGCATGGCCAGACTTCTTCAAGCTGAAAGGAACGCAACAACTCAAATAACCACTCTTTACAACCAAAGCATGCAGAAGAGCGTCTCTGAACACACAACATGTCACACTTTGAAGAAGATGGGCTACAGCAGCAGGAGGCCACAGCAGGTTTCAGTCCTGTCAGTTAAGAATGGGAAACTAAAAGTATGATTCTTGCTGAATCATACTTTTAGTTTCCCATCACAGTATGAGATTGGAAAAACATTGCCTGGTCTGAAGAGTCTCAGTTTCTGCTGTGAAATTCAAATGGTACACAGTCAGAATTTGGGGTAAAGAACAGGAAATTACTGATTCATCCTGTCTTGTATCAGAGGTTTCGCCAGTGGTGGTGTAGTAATGGTTTGGGGAATATTTCACTGGCACACTTTGGGTACCTTAGTACAACTGAGCTTCACGTAAACACCACAGCCTACCTGAGTACAGTTGGTGGTCACTGTGACCCAAGGTGACCCTTTATCCATCTTCTGATGGCTGTTTACAGCACAATAAGGAGACATGCCACAAAACTCAAATCCTCTCACACTGGTGTCCTGAACATGACAATGAGTTCACTGTACTCAAATGACTTCCACAGTCACCAGACCTCAATCTAGTGGAGCACCTTTGGGATGTCAAACTTGGATGTAAATGATAAATGGACTGGTTCCTGTGTACAACATGCCTCATTCGTCCATTCATACAGCAGCACTGTACTTCATTGGTTTCTATCAAACATACACACACGCATTTACACTGTGATAGATGCATCAGAAACCAACTTGGGGTTAGTATCTCCAGGATATTTAGCATGCAGATATAAAGGGACTGAACCGACCTTCTGATTAGTAGATGGCTTGCTCTAGCTCCTGAGCTACAGCCACCCCCTGTGATGTACAACAACAACTGTGTGATGCTCTCATGTCATGTGAAGATGCTGATAACTGCTTCCAGCACCTTGTTGAATCTATACCACAAACTTAAAGGGCGTCCAGATGTAACTAATGAAGTGGCCTTTGAATTATATTTTGTTACTGGATTCAGGGCCACTCTTTAGCTAGTCCTCAACTTCGTGCGAAATACTTTTTTAAAACAATTTTTTGCCTCTTTTCACAGTTATTCCATTCAAAACAATCTTCCCACGTGCAGAGTCTCTTTTCACATAATAAATCTGTATTAGCACTCTGGGCTGCACATGAGTCCAATTCCAATTTCTATACCACATTAGTACCTTTAGTGATCCGCCCCCTTAGTTCTTTAGCCACGTAAATTAACGAAACCATTAATTTCATTCTATTATGGCATGAAAATAAAAGTCTCAGTGACGTTGTCAGCCTGTTATTATAAGGCTCTGAGGCCAGCTGGCTGATCGTGCTTCCCTGACCTGTCTGACGGTGCAGTCTCCTCTAACGATGAAGTCTCTGCTCTCCGTGACACTTGTGACGGTAACGTGGATCCTTTCAGCCCTGCGGCGGTGTCTCGATGTTGTTTCGTCTTTCACTGCTGCCGACATCACTTGTCCGGCCCGCGGGGCTTTAAACACGGTGCAGAGCAGGAGCGCACGGTCCCGACGCGGACTGCGTGTCTGTCCCGATGACTCGGCAATAAGTTGTGCGGATGTGTGCCAGCTGAGGCCACGCCGGTTACTGAGGTGGACACGCAAAGCCCACACCTAGCTGCTACTATGCACAGATCTCATGCCCCTGCTGCCGGTTATAACAGTTTTTGAGTGCACTTTGACTGACAAAAATAAATTAAAATACTTAATAATATGCCAGTTATGTAACCAGACTTAACTTAAAGATATAGTGCACCATAGAAATCAGACAGCAGTATAAATCCTAGATGCTCTCAGTTCACTTTTAAACTCTCATTCCAGGAACAATAATGAATCATTATAATTTTAACAGCCTCCAAAGGTGACACACAGGTGATAAGTGGTAGTTGATGACAATAGTCTCAATTTTTTTTAAAATCCTTCTTCCTTTTGAGATTTGACCCAAGCAGTTTTAAAGTATCTTATTTTCATCTGGCTCATGTTAACATCTAATGACTCAAATGCATTTTTTTTTTTGGCTTCTTTGAGACACTTTTACACTTTTTTTAATTCCTCCCAGGCTCTTCGATGCTTTCACACACAAAAAGTAAAACCACATTTTCACTGAAAAAGTAATTTATTTACTTAACAGTGGGAAAATAAAGAAACAAAACAACTTTGCATTACACACCTGTCATTTTGGCAACAAACCCTTTAAAGATCAGGCACAGAGCCTTCAACAGTACAGGAGATCCAGAGGCACTCTAAGGCCTGAAGAGGGCAGCACGATGTGCCAAGCAGCTACTTTAACACAAGCTTAGAACGTTTGTCGATATTTCAGAAAGCCTCTTGTATCTTAAATCTTATTTAATTGTGTAACATATCGTGCCAAATCTAGCTTTTTCTGTTAGTGTGTGTGTGTGTTTAGGGAGGGCATGCAAAACAGCCTGACCAGGAGTCTAAGATTTAACAACAACAAAAAAAAAAAGAACCCTGATTTTGATCAATAGTGGGAATATTCTTCAGGGGTTTCTTCATTTGTTTATTTCATTTTGTTTTCAGGCATTTTCCTTCTGAAACCTTCATAGATCTGCCTCTGAGCCTTTCTTCCCTTTCTTGTTTCCCTGTGAAACAGAAAATTGCAGAAAGGACACAATTATTTATGGATATCAGATCTGTGTGTGTGCTTTTATTAATTCAAGTCAAAAGATGGATGTAGAAACAGAACATAAATGAGGCAAACACAGTCTTTATCAACTGGGGAAAAAAGAAAAAAAAGAAACCATATTAACTTAAAAATAAAGAAAAAAAAGTGTTCAAATGCTCTGACCTGAATCTAAGCTCACCTCTCCCCTGACTGGGCCGAGTAAACTCTTTATGTTTCTGTCCTTTGGCTTACTTACGCTGACACTTTCTGACTTTACCGGCCTTACAGGCTGAAGTTTTTCTGTTAGGTTTCCACAGTTTCTACAGAAATCCACGAAAGCAATGAGGTGCATGCATGATCATAAACTAGTATGCAGTCAGTTCAGCGTAAATGAAGATGGAGACAACACTTTAACACCAGTTCTTCTCTCCTATAATGAAGATACCACACAGAAAAGTATTTGTACTCTCACCTGGTGCTTTGGTTGTTCTGACTGCAGTCCTTTTACTTTAGATCTCTCTTGTTCGAGGGCAGCGTGCAATAATGTTACCTAATTAAAATGAAAAACACAGATTTACAAATATAAATATTTAGAATCCCCCCCAACACTCTCTCACACACACACACTTGGTTACACAGTTACAGACCTGTGAAGACAGCTCTTCTTTAATATGCAGTAGCTCCTCTACCTGTAGAAGAATTTCTGCTTTGTCTTTCACTGAAAAAGAGAGAAAACAGAAACAGCACACACGATATCTTCATCAGGAAAGGAAAGGAAAGTCAAAACAATCACTTTTTGGACAATGATTCTCCCCCACAGTGGGTTTTAAATCAAGACAATTGAGATGTGACTCAATCACAGACAAACACATTACATTCGTTGTTTAGCAATTGCAGACAACAATATACATATTCCTCTACATTCAGAGTCAATCCTACCTTTGTTTGCAGGTCACTCTTACTTACAATGACTTCTCTTTGGATCTCTTATTAGGAGTTGGAGGGAAAAGTTAAGAAATGCAAGTTCACTTAGAACAGCAGCTTTCATCTACTTCATCTGTCATGAAATAAGACGGGAACAGGCCTTAGCTGTCTATGAAAATGCTAGTCAGTCAATTCTGAAAATAGAGGACTGTGCATAAATATATCTATAATTCAGAATCATTTAATGCAGAAGTCTGCACCTCACCCACATCTCGATTGTTTGATTTAAAATCCAGAAGTGTTGTCTTGTTGTACAGAAGAAAAATTACAACAACAACAAAAAAGTGTCCTTGTTCAAATACTTTTGGACCAAACTGTATCTACTGTGTTATCAAACTCACTCTCTCCCTGCTGCAGCATCTTCAGCAGCTGAGCATTTCTTGCTTTCACCTCTTTGTATTTTACCTGCAGAGACAAAAAGAAAGATTCTTTTTGTAGCACTGGACACAACAGTGACGCAATAAGTGTTGGCTGCAGGTGTGGTCACCTTTCCTTTTTTCTGTCACAGTGTTAGAGTGGGGAACGCTCATATTAATCATGCATATAGTTTCAACGACGAGTGAAATAAGCCAAAAGCTCAGGCTTCAGACTGATCAACATGCTCACGTTCTGACGTTTTCTTTCAACTCTTGTCTCTGTATGGTGTTACTGAGAGTGGATTCACTAACGGTGGTTATCTCAGACTCACAGCTTTGGCTCTGTGCCGTTTAAAGGGCAGTAAATCCGCTGATTTACTGCCCTTTAAGTGGCTCGCAGGGAGAGGAACTAAAACTGCTTGTTTCACACAGTCAAAGAGGGCTGAACAAAGGCAAGAATGAGAAAAATAGTATTTCTGAATTATGAATCCTCCAAAGCTACTCTAGTAGAGTCCAGTGATAAAAATATGAAGTTGAAAATTAAATATGTAGACATATTTTTTTTTTTTACAGAAGAAGTCCACACTAACTAACAGTGCCTTAGCAGCCCACAGCCTACGTGAGTTGAGTAAGAACATCTTAATGATGATGACAAACCAACACTAAACCCAACCTGTTTGGCTTTAAACATGGCAGAGATTTTTCTGGTTAACTTCACCGTTTCTACAGCTGTGAAAATCAAATTTCCTTTTTGTGACTCATCATACAGGAAAAGGGGGGAAAAAAATCACTGTCCTTCTGAAACTGAAAGATGAATAGATCAGATAAATGTTTATGGCTGCTGACCTCCCACTGTGAAATGTTTTTTTTCAGCTTATCAATTTCCTGATCTTTCTTCTCCAGCTCATACTTCAGCTGCTCCGCTCTGGGGTCCTAACAGGAAGAAAAACATGAAATAAAATCAGCAAGTAAAGAAAAAGAAACTTCCCTTTGGTAATGGTGCATGTACGCAGTTTCACAAACAGCTTTTCAGATGTACCTTGAAGCAGTTAATCACTAACCAAAACTCAAAGGAAAAGCTAACTTTGTTCACTTTCATACCCGAGTTAATGAGAAAGCTACGTGAGTATTTTGTGGTACTTGGACTCACTGGTTCGTGTTCTGTTGACGTGCTGACTTCTTGTCCCTGGCTGTTTGTATACTGCTCGCGTCTTTTCTCCCGTTGGATTATCCGACTGACATCATCTTCCAACTTATTAAAAAAACGTTCGTCCTGCCCGACTCCCAATGCTAAATTAGCCGTTCTGGAGTCCTGGAAGGTAATTTGGTTGATGTTTTACACATTTTTTTAAGTTACAAACAAAATATTAAAAACGTAATTTTATCTTTAATTCGTCCCTCACTTGTTCATTCACATTTCTGTGCAATCTATAAAATATAAAGTAAACACAGAGTGGAGCCTGCTCACCTCTTTCTCTTGTTTTCTACTTAAATTTTCTGCAAAGAGAAAACACAATGCAATAACTAGATACAAGAAAATAACAATATATGCAATGTAGTAAATCATATATATGACGTCCATATATAAGACTTTAAAGTAATCTGTAAGCTGGTCTCACCTGCACTGCTTTCAGCCTGGAAGTCTTGCAGAGAAACTGTCTTTTTGTCTTTTGCCTGCTGATTCTTCTTTTTGTCCTTCTTGCCTCCACCTTCTTTTCCTGACCGTGACTTTGGCGAGGACGTGTTTGTGTTGCTCTGATGAATGAAAGCAGATGCTTTGACTTCAGTTGGCTCAAGTTCTTGCTTTGCATACCAGAAATGAATTCTGTTTTGTTTTTAACCCACAGAAACTCCAGCATTTAAAACAAGACCCTTTAATCACCAACATGAAGAAGGAATAAGGTAATATGCTGACTTATAATTTAAGTGAACATGTCACAGGTGTGTCAGAGGGATGTACGACTTACGTAAAAGTGAACATACAGCTCTGATATCTGTGCCCCCAAATGTGGCTTTCAAAATGAGAATATTAGTGTTTTTCTGCAGCGTACCTGCTTCTGTTGCTCATACTCCAGTTTACTTAAAATCAAGGCCTTTTCCAAGTCTGCCTCATACAGTTCTGTGGTTATCTAAAAGAAAAGGAAGAAGATTGAATTTTAGGGACTTTTCGTGTTGTGTGTAAGGTCAGGTGTGGCCTGTGCTGCTCTATGAGGGACAGTCATACAAGTTTTACTATCTCACTCATCTGTAATGTGAGTAGTTGTCATTTCTAAACCTGCTCGTCTCTCTGCTTCCACTGCTGCCAACCCTCCGACGGTGTATCCTGGTCCACCGACGTAGGATTGAGAAGTTCACCGGCTATTCCTGACAGCGTCATACAGGGAGGAGGGGCAGAAGATTTCTGAGGAATCTTTTTGAAGGCCAGATTACGCAACTAATAGAAAGAAAGATAAAATAACATGATGTCATCATTATTGACATAAACACAAATTCTATTGTTAGCTGTAGAAGCCATCAACTTGTCTATGTGAGCGCAGCAACAACAAAAAACGGTCTGTTTTCT